TCCCAAATGACCTTGAAAAGACACAGCAATTACTACCACACATGCAAGATAAATTATCACCAAAGCTAAGGCTTGATTTCCTGAGATACAGCAGCCAGACTGGAACATTAGGAACTGGGATGAGTTCTGAGATAAGATGGTAGAGTCAATAAGACAAATGTGTAAATAAAAAGCTCCATTTGTCAGGGCAAAAGCTGTATTTTGATTATGAGAAATCAGATTTTGCATTTCAGGGAAATACACACCACGTCCTCTCACAAATGTGGAAGCTGGTTTCAAACATGAGGAGCATCAGGAGCATCTATTACTTTAAAAACTCATAATTAATTATTGTTCAAAATAAGCTGTTGGCATTGGCTTAGCCTGTGAGATCCTCAAGGTGGCACAGTCTTGTAGCTGTGCTTATACACCTACCATGACAAGGGCCTGATAAAAATAGAAGCCCAAATAACCAAAGTCATTACACACTCACATAGATATATGCAGTTTATGCAGACATTACCGCCAAAGAAAGTTATTCTTCCATAAAGCCAAGGACTGGATCTTGCTGCCCTCAAAATGAGAATTTTACTCTAATCACATAAAAAGAACAACTTCATAAACACAGGAAGAAAGGGAGAAATGATGCTTCCTGTGGGAAGGAAGTCCTTTTAAAGACAGAATAAACTGATGCAGTCAGGAGGAGGAAAAAAAAAAAAAAGCTTGTATATGCAAATAGACATTTATTACCCATATTTGTACTCCTAAGAAATATAATTTACTGACCTTTGAGAGATGGGTCAAATAGGCCCATAGAATAAGGAACAAAGGCATCTTTTTGGCAACTACCATGTTCCAGAGCAATAATTATCCTTTCCCCTCTCCATGAGCAGCAGGAAATGAAGAGGGATGCCATTACACCACGACAATTACTGTAATTTTAATTTCTAAATATTGCTAGGAAAGTTTCCTCAAAAAAAAAAAAAAAAAAAAAAAAAAAAGTCTGTTCAGATTTTTGATGTGGTTTTAGACAAAAACTCATTCCCCAGCTAACGCAGAGCTGTGCTTCCCCTCCTCCCACTCCCTTGGGGGAACCACCCACAAAGTCTGCAGGGTGAGAAAAACCCACTTTCCTCCCCATTAGTGGAGAAGAGAGAATTGCAGAGAATCACAGAATGGTTTGGGTTGGAAGAGACCTTAAAGATCATCTTGTCCAACCCCCTGCCATGGGCAGTACCACCTTCCACCACCCCAGGTTGCTCCAAGCCCCATCATTTGAACTTGTTCAACCATGGGCACAAAACCAGATTCTATCAGAAGCTGATGATGTTGGATGCATAATAATTATTTTTAAAAAAATTTTAAAAATAAGGATTCTTTTCATCTCCTGTGCTCAGAAACATTATTTGCTCTGCTGTGGATTTTCCACAGTCTACCATTAATTATTTTAATACTATAGATAATCAATTCTGTGCTAGTAGAACATTATATTATATCCTGTTGTTGCACTGTGGGATGGATTTCACCCTAGAGAACATATCTGGTCAGCTGTCCAACCTCTCCTACCACTGACCACACTGTCCCAGCTCCAAGAACACCTGAAATATTCCCATTCCTACACTGGACTCTGCCTGGGAGGAGGAGTTTTCACTTTGGTGCATCTGTTCAGGGGGAGAAGTGGGATTTGCAGCCCATCTGCCCAAAAACAATCAGGAGCAGAGATGACCATATCCCCAAATCTCTGCTGCAGGCTGCACCAGCAATTCCCATAAACTAAAACTACCTTTCAAAATTCCCCTTAATTAGCCTCATTTTGTCGCCAGTAGGCAAAGACTTAAAATTACTTCCACAGATTCAAGGGAAAGGGCTTTTTTCCTTTTTATATTAGTTGTTGCCACAAGGCACGTTCAACAATCATCATTTAGTGTAGTAAAAAGTTGTGTCTTTCAATACATGCACCTATAGAACTCCATTGATTTGTCTATACACAAACACATTCCTACAAACATATATTTGATTAAGAATTTATATAACTTCAGGGTTCAAGGAGTTTTGGATCAATGCCTTTATTTTGCCTTTATAAACAAATAAACTCAATTAAAGAGTACTTACAACAAACCACAATGGGCAGGAAACTAATTTTCCCAAGGCTTGCCATGGCAATTTTTACCTGTTACATAAGTCTAGGGAATCAATTACTCCCTAAAGGGAAATTATTAGGGTTTGTGTTACCCAACATCTCACCTTTCCCACTCACCAGTGGGAGAGAAGTATAGGGACAGGCATCCAGAAAAACGAGTATTCTTCAGACCTCTTACAATTTGCTGTAATAAATTAAAGTATAAATAAAAGAGAACAAAGCCCTGCAGGCAGGCAGTGCTTGAGTCAAGGCTGGATCTGCACCAAGTCACTGTGCACCTTCACAAGGCCCATAAATCAGCTCTCCTGAACATATGTAGTATTTTGCATTACTCTATAGGGTGTTAACTTTAATGCCTTAATATATTCACATAGTGGTCAGGTTACAGGTCCTGTGGGAACCATAAATTTGTGTGTCCTGGCCAATCTGCTGCTGGAAAAATAATAATAATAATAAGTTAAAACTAACCACAGCACCACATTTCCTTCAGTGGTTTTTACACCTTTAATTTTTCTCCTTTTTGAGGGAGTAAGAAGAGAAGATGTGTGCAGCTGCAAACCTACAGGGAAGCTGAAGCAGATGTGAATTAATTTTCATCCCTTTTGTGCATGAAGGCTTGTGTGTCCCCAGCCCAAGCAAATGTCACTGCCTGAAAAAGATTTGCTCTTGGGTGTCATCAAGCCTTTTTCTGAGTCAGAACCTTCTCACCCAGGACATGCTACTACCTCCTTTTTTGTGATCCACCAAAGCCACTTCACCTGCAAATGACAGCTACAAGGAGAAACAACCTGAGCTGATCCAGTTTAACCCAATTTCTGCTGATTCTGCCTGACCCCCACCAAACTGATCCTGCTATAATCTCCCAGTCATTGGATTCCTACCTGGTTAAAGGCAAAGGGAGTTGTCTCTGTCCCATTCTTCCTGCAGCCTCCTTTTGCTCCAGCCTCACCATGACTCACATAAAGATTTGAGTATTTTTTGTCTGGCATCCTAATTTTTTCCCCATATTAAAGCTCTGTTTTCTTCCAAAGAAAGTTGGTTTTGGAGTCACCAAGCAATTTCAACATAGGAAAAAAAGCTGGTTTCATCCAGGCTTGCTCCCCGTGCCAACAATTTGCAGTAATTACCATTTTTCATTCTGTTTGCACTGGTTAATGGCCAGCAGTGTCCCACATCCTGTGGAGCAGTCAGGGCCATGGTAGTACCAGAAATGGTAGTCCAGGCAAGAATAGAGCTGTTCTCTTCCCTGCAACCCACTCCACCAAGAGCAGTCAAACACAATTGGTTAAAAGCCCAAGAAGTGACGCAATACAGACGGCATGAAAACAAATCAGAGTTAATTTGCACAAAATGACCCAATAAATATTTAATGTATGTAGGACTTGACCACAGTTACAAGATGTGCTATTTATGCCCCTGCTCAACACAGATCACCAGCTGGTGGACAAAACCAGACTGTTAATTTTTATAAACACACAGCTGAAAAGCAACATCTGTGCACAATCTCTCCACAGGTAGCAGTGGGAACCCTCACTCTGGATAAAGGAATTCATCAGCCCTTTGGTACCTAAATTTCATTTCACTGACACCCACACCAAATAAGCAACAAGGTCTAAGGCAGAATTGTACTTGTTTGAAACTTAGTTAATATTAAAACTTTGGTTCATTGATCTGCACTAATGATGGGGTTTTCAGTGGCACCATTCCACTCTTTTTTAAAGAGAATCATCAAAGTTACAAAGTACAACTATTTCTCACATACCTTAAGGAAGCTGTAGAAAACCAGGTGGCACAAGGTAGGGAGAGAAAAGTCATTAGGAAAGCAGAAAACCTGCTGACTGCCCCTTAAATGATAAAAAGTATCCAAAATATCAGAGATAATCACTGAAATTAGACATGGAGTTTTGGGTTTTGGTGGCACAGTACCAGCTGAAAATGCCTACAAGTTTCCTAGTATGTAGATTTGAGAGGACAACCTAATCTCTGTTGAATCCTTACTTCAGCCAAAGGATCTCCTGGCATCCAAACTCTCTTGGAAATCTGTGGAGATTTCTTAAACACACATACACATCTAGATATTAAATCTATAGTACTTTGCATTACTATTTATGAATGACTACACATTTTTTCTGTATGTATACATATAAACTTACACTAAAATATCTTTATAGTCTTAATAATTTGCATATGTTCACTGGCACACATGCACCTAATTATATTTTATATATATATTCACATAAATGTACATATAAATGAAATATGTGCATCACATATGGAGGAATCAGAGTATATATGAATATCTATGCACAAATTAGAATAAATTTATACACTTTGATTCTATATAGTATTTATTCATTGAAAATTTTCCTAATATGGGCTAAAAAAGAAGAAAAAGGCTCAATTTGCATATGTATGTAGTAGTTAACCACAGTGCAGTGTAGCCAAAGAAAGCAGAATACCTAATCCCTCTCAAAACTGGGGACAGATTTGATAAAAAGTCTTCTTAATTTTCTTCTATGAAATTGTCCTTGGAATGTGATTTAACCGCACCTACAAGCCCAGCTTCCAGGAAAAGGGTGTGTAGGACTGCTTTTTGATATATTTCATAGCAGACAAAACTCCCCTCAAGAATGGAAAAACAGCCCCATGAGGACAGAAAAGCAGAGAATAATTAAACAGGTTTTACATAAGTCTTTTTCCCTGGGTCCTGTTGTCTCCCACCTCCAAAGACATCACTCATCCCTATTGGAAAATCACCTCACTGGTTTCAGTGTAGGCAGTGGAGGAGCTCCAAGCTCTTCAGCATCATTAGTGGGGTTAAAAAACAGCTTTTTTTTAGCACTGTACTTACTTCCAAACACAGAAACACTCATGAACCTACCTGTTTGGTGCTTCTCTGCCCAGTAGGAAGCAAAGATTTGGATTTCTCTGCTATTTTCTGTTAAAAGGAAAAGAAAAAAAAATTCAGAGGGAAAATGGATAAGAAGAGTCCAAATATTTAGGGAAGGAGTCATATGAAGCTATTTTCTTCTACTTTCTAAAGAAAAGGACATGGAGAAAGCTCTTACTCTTTAGAAAAAAAAAAACCAAGGGAGTATAAAAGCATTGAAAACTTCAGTCTTGCAGGCATTAAAAGTCTTCAAAGCTTCCAGAATGACAAGGTTATCAAAACTGAAACAGGCATTTAGGGAATGACAGCCAGGACGTGGATAAGTAGCAATTTATCACTCAGATTGTTTTCCCAATGCAGCCGGGCATTCACAAACTGCAGTGGTTAATTTTGGCACTTCTGAATTGATGACAGTTTTTAAAATAAAAGAAATCCAATCCTGTATGGTTCAGATGGACTGTACTCATGAACATTATGGGGGAAAAAAAGCATAAAAAAGATGTGCGTGTGTGTATATGTGGGGGTGGATCTCCTTACCCAAATAATTCCAACTTCTCATTTAACACATAAAATAATTTCATTTAAAGACCCCATACTCAGTTTCTTGAATAGGACAGGTAAATAATTTAAAATATGAGGCAGCCCTAGAGATGATGCAATTCTATTACACAACAGACACGCTGTTGAACTGCAATTTTATGTACATCCATTTATTTATTTAATTTTTAAGGCACAGGCAGCAAGTGCTAGGAAATCAATCAGTCCAGAGTGTTTATAATAGAGACACATTATTAAGTGCATGTTGCCAGCCAAATTTCATTACACCTCTGTAATTACAATATATCCTTCCCATTGTTGCAGGCATGCGTCAGACTTATTAAAGCGATATACCAAAGCCACCAGAGTTTGTCCAGGTTGTATTTTGATTAATCCAGATATATCTCCTAACTTGCACTGCCAGGGAGGGAGGCAGTTTGGGGATGCTAAATTTAAGTCATTACTACAGTGTTTAAAAGCAAAGCAAATCTGTTCATCAGCAGAGCCTCCCCAGGGTAAAGAGGGTGAGCAAGAAGCTAATGAAGGAACTGGAGTTTAGGCTTTGTTTGTTTTATTAAACAGCTTGATCTTGGTGACAGATCCCTGTTGGAAAAACGTTCCGTAACATTCCAACAGATCCCAACCACAAGATGTGCCTGGAAACTTTCTGGCACAGCCAAACAGCAAAGCAGAGCCAGAAGGTGGGGTAACACTTGAATTATCTGTGCTGCCTGCACATTTTCTGCAAGCAGAAAAGGTGAACTGTGCAATCACCCCTCCCCTAAGAGTGGAGGAACACCAAAATAATGTCATGGCTAAGCCAGGGGGAAATACTTCCCCCTGAACTCAGCACTGGGGAGGCCACACCTCAAATCCTGGGGTCGGTTTTGGGCCACTCACAACGAGAAGGGGATTGAGGGGCTGGAGCGTGTCCAGAGGAGAGAAAGGAGCTGGGGAAGGGGCTGGAGCACAGATCTGATGAGGAGCAGCTGAGGGAGCTGGGGGGGCTCAGCCTGGACAAAAGAAGGCTCCAGGGAGACCTCACTCTCTACAATTCCCTGACAGGAGGGCAAAACCAGGGTCAATGTCCATTCCCAGGGAACAAGGGATAGGACAATCACGCTCCCCCAGGGGAGATTTAGATTGTGTATTTGGGAACATTTCTGCAGAGAAAAGCTTGTCAAGCACTGGATAAGGCTGCCCAGGGAAGTGGTGGAGACACCATCCCTGCAAGTGTTCAGTAAGTGTGTGGATGTGGCCCTTAAGGACATGGTTCAGGTGCACGGTTGGATTTGATCTTAAAAGTTTTTTCCAACCTAAATTCTATGACACTATGATTGCTTGACTGACAAAGAAAGTTTTTTTTTTTTCTGTGTGTGCATGCAAACAATCCACAGAAAAATGGATTGTTGAGGACTAACTATAAAGCTCTGTAAGGCTTTTCATGCTGTGAGTAATTTTATGGGAGGAGAGTTTGCAGTGGTACCCAGATTCCCATGAGGCACTTACTGACCAGCAGCCAATGTCCACCAGAACAATTTCTTCTATGTAAGGGGCAGTGGCTACAGGCTTTCTATCAAAATTTGTAGGTTTGATTACTAAAATTCTACTGTTAAAAAGAAGAATTAAAAAAAAAAGTTAAATTAATTGATCAGTGAGCAGAAAAAAGTTATTATACGATGTAATAGAGAGCAGGAAGTTTATTCCTTATATTACTGAAATAGTTTTTGTGTCTATTTCCTTCAGCTCTTAAATATTTTCCCTTCAACTTTGCGTTTTTGTCCCCATGACAGTAAAACCTCTTCTCCTGAGAGTCCCCATGGGCTTCAAGGGCAAATAATACATTCTTGTGTGGCACTGTAATTGAGTTTAATGTGACCTTGCCTGATTCCCCTTTGGACCCAATTTATGTCACAAAATAGAGCCTGGGGATCAGCACAACAACAACGAAAAAAAAAAAAAAAAAAAAAAGAAAAAAAATTCCAGATCCCCATATCTCCAAGGCAGCATCTTCTGTTTCATCAAGCTCAGATGTAATTATGCAAGAAAACAAAAACAAAAAAAAAAAAAAAAAAAAACCACCAAAAACCAAAACCAACAAAGCTGTTCCTCCATCCAACACTATTCAAAGCAATATGTTAAAAATTATTCTTGTATTAATCTTGATGCCTACATCTACATGTGGAAACAGTCATTCCAGGCTCCCCTCCCCATCCTCTGGAGCAGACCATCACCCATTGATTTTTTTTTAGGCAGGCTGAGTTGCACATGGTCCTTCACAGGTTATAAAGGTGGCCTCGGGTGATCCAGGTTTTAAATCCTTATCTCAACTGCCTGTTGGCAAGTGCCATAAATCCAGGCTGTAAAAACCACTTGGTCAGAGATGAGTTGTGCGTTTAAAGCAGTCTTATTTCTAGGTGGAAAGGCAGTGAGAACAGGTTGAAGTAATACAGGACTTTGGAAAATGGTAGGTAGTGAAAGAAAATAAAACATGAACACAGGGAAGTTCCTGACTTAGAAACTATATGGATGCTGGAAGCAAGAGTGTAACAGAAATCAAGTAAAATTGTCCTTATTTTCATTTCAGGTGCTGAATGTCATGTGGGTGAAAATTCTCCTTTAACTCTCCAGCTGGAATCTGGTCCCCACAGTTTGCTTGTGTTCTTGCCCATGATGCCAAGTCAGCAGTAACATCTGGGGTATAAAATCATTGTTGGAAGGTCCAAAACCTTCTGTTTGTCCAGTCCTTGCACTGGGGACAATGGGATGGGGATCATTCCTACCTTGTGACACTGATGCTGAGTTGAACCTAGAGATGACAGCCCAGTCTGCACACAAAACAGATGGGATTTTCTGGGATAAATGGGAATTCAGAGTAGGGGTAAATTCTCATTTAAAATCCTGCTCTGATCTGGCCACAGCCTGTATTTATCTACCCCCAAAGCTGCCTTTTCACTAGCACACAGCACTGAAGCAGTGTCATATACAGATATATTCCATGGGTTTGGCCTTTCCAGACACTTAACACATTCCCAAACTCACCTGCACCCCACGACTGAGTCTTTAACCAATGCCAAACTCACGTGAAGCCAGAGTTTTCTGCAATATTTTCACCCAAACTGAGACCCTGAGATAGATATGAACTGGCCAAAGGCTTTGCTGCTGAGTTCTTGATTTCCAATTCTATGTGATCCAGTTTTGGGAAGGGAACTGATGTCTGCAGCTGTTTTCCCTTGGGTCATTTATAAGTGAAAACTACACTTGTTTGAGAAGAAGGGAAGATATATCAAAACACAGAGCTTAACAGCTTTAAAGCACCCACTGCCACTTCTTATTTTCATTATTCCTCCTTCCACAAAACCCATCATTCTCCCCCAACAGCATCTTGACTGACACATACCCTGGATGAGCCTCTGACAATCTCAGACAGCTGCTTGATGGCTTTGGTGCTAGTCGTGATGGTTTTATTAGTCTCCTGCTGGGTGGCATGCCTGCAGAAGAGAAGAGATGATGGGAATTGCAATTGAAATTAATTGCATAATGAGACACTTGGAGAAATCTATCAAGCTGCAGAGCAATTGAGACAACACAACAACAGCAGCACACGGAGGCTCAGGAGGGCTGCAGGAGTCCTGGGTCTTGACCAGCAGTGGAAGCCAGAAGGAAATACTGGGAAGGAGCTGCCCAAAATATTCTTCCTGCTGTCAGCACAAAGACAATGCCTGTGAACCATTCAAAGAGAAGTGATAAGGTGAAAACAGGGGGTGGACAGGGAACAAGGCCATCACAGATGATTGCTACTGCAAATTTTCAAGGAAGGGTTGTACAGCAAAAGGAGACAGGACTGGGGAGTTGCCTGATGGCTTGCCCAGGAAAAATATTGTTCTCAGGAGAGAAATCTGAAATTGAGCAGGACAAATTCACTTACCCTGGTCATCTACCCCTTAATGACACAGTATCTCCAGGAAAGCACTGGGGATGTGAAGGTGCAGAGCTGCTTCACCAGCACTGAGACAGGCAGGAATGGAGCCACCCTTCCACCCCTCCAGTCACAGGTCTCCCTCCCTCTTACACCCCAAACTCCAGTACCATTATTCCTTGTAAGCACTGCTTGCTGGCCTAGCTCTTTGGGACCTTATAAACAAATGGGAAGAGACATAAATGCTTCCCAAAGGTATATATTAGCTCAGTCCAGTAGTTCTCAAGCTTTCTAAGGTCAACAGGACACTCTCGGCTTCTAAGCTTCTCCAGAGAGCACTTCATATCCTTTCAGTCAGAAAGAAGTGGTTTTCCGTGAGGTTTCATTCAAAACCTCAAGAAATACCTGGAAAAGACCTGGAGAAAATGATGTTTTTTCTCCCTTTGAGGACACACACGAGCATGAGCCACAGTTGTATCGAAAACACTCATTTGTCAGTGCTTTTTTTTTTTTTTTTTTTTGCAGAAAGCTTTGGCGAGTGGTGAGATTTGAAATGAATCTTTGATTAAAAAATGTCAAAATGTCTATTCATGGTCCCTCAGTCCTGAAGACCCATGGCTTGTCCTGTCCATTCAGCTCCTTCCTTCTTCTCTGTCAGTTCTGATGGAGAGCACCTCTTTTGAGAGCTAGGTCAGCTCTTCCAGCACCTCCTTTGAAGATCAAGGCCAAACAGCTTTTACCAAACACAACCTTAACTACAAAAACATCGAGACCTCTCTTGTTGAAGTCTTAATCCAAAGTTCGGCAGTTCCTTCCCCACTTCAATGTTTTTGTGCAAACAGCTCAGCTGGGAAAGCTGTCCAGGATCATGGAATCATAGGATGGACTGGGATGGGAAGGACCTCCAAGCTCATCCATTTCCAACCCCCTGCCATGGGCAGGGACACCTTCCAGTGGACCAAGTTCCTTCCAGCCCCATCCAACCTGGCTGTGGACAATTCCAGCAATGGGGAAGCCACAGCTTTTCTGGGCAACATCTGCCAGGGCCTCCCCACCCTCCCAATAAATAAAATTACACTTCAGTTCATACAAGGTACCTGCAAGTGAAAGCTTAGTACACATGAAGACAACATCTCTTAGTTGCACAACAGGAATTCAGACGTGTGCCAATGGTAGAACACTCACACAGAAGGCATGGAATCCTCTGGCACCACACAAGAAGGAGAAATAATCCCATGTAAAGACAAAACTAGATCAAATAATGAGTTATTACCTCTGTTTATTTAAATTAAGATACAATTTCTGTGTTAATTTACCAAAACACACTTCATTTACTGATGATCCCAGGACCCACCACAACAGCTGAGCAATTACATCACTTTTAATTTGAGATGGAAGAGGTCATATCTATCACAGACAGGTATTCCACACTGCCATGGTGAGAGAGGGAGCTGGGAATTGAATCCTGTCACATTGCTAACATTGAGGAGTGCACAGTCAGCCTGATCCCCAATCTCTTAATCAAGTACATCTTGCTACCAAATGCATGAATTCTACAAGCAGCAGATTCAAATCTCAGATTTCCATACCTAATTCCTCTTAATGGAAAGCAAGATGCTGGAGTTGACATCCATTTTGCAGACCTCATTAAATTATCTGCCCACAGAATAACTCAGGGATTTACATACCACTAATTCCCCATCCCCAAAGTAAAATGGCTTGTTAGGCTCTTGCATCTGATCCTTCCCAATATCTAAAGTTAAATAAAGCCTTCTTCATTTGCATTGTAATGTAAATTTTATGTTAGATATCTTACGTAATAAATTCATGCTGGGCACGAACTTTACTCTGCTGGAAAAATAAGTGGGAGCAAGAGTACAAAAAAATAAAAGTTCTGCCTTCCAGCTCTTAATTAAAAATGCACTTTAACCAACATGCTGGTGCTTGATTTTGGCACTTTCCACTATGTTGTCAGCACAATTAACTACTTATTCTTCAGTCTCAGAGATGCGCTCAGGAATCAGACAATGATTATATTTAATTTACATTAAATGCTATTAAGATCTTAATTTAAAAAAAAAAAGCCATCTCAAAACACTGCTTCCTGCAGTATTTTATTTTAATTTGTAATGGTAATAAGATATGTTGTTGTTGATGTTGCTTTTGTTGTTGTTTTTATTATTAGTATTAACAGCATTATTAGTATTATTATCTGTCTTTATATTCTGCTCCCCATGGAAGTGTGGAAGTTAATTAGAGGGGTGTCTCTCATGAATAAAATTTCCTTCTCAAAAGAGTCCTCCACACAACAGTAAGTTAATACTCCATCTGTGGAGCTGCCAAGCACCTAAAATACAAACGCAGTAAAAGATTTACCTGTCTACAGCTCTGCTCTGAAAACAAACCCTGGCAGGGTGAACACCAGAGAGGGCATCTCTTAGGAGGGGTAAACATCTCTTGCTGAGCATTTCTGCGTGCACAAACGCTGCAAAGACAAAGCACTAAATAATCCAGGAGATGCCAAACTGCTGCCTACGAGCTCCCCGTGGCTGCTGTTTCCTCTGCTGGAGGAGCACGGTCCAGCGAATCCCTGATCCCCAGCTGCTCACAGTTTGTTCTTTGGACGATCATCTCTCTAATTTATTTATCCAGTTTTAAAAGGAGCTCTGCGAAGAGGCAGATGCGGTGGCGGCTGCTCCCCCCATCCACAGGGACGCCGGGAAGGAGCTGAACTTCTGCCTCTGCTGCTTCTTTGAGACTCTTGATGAATGGCCAAGCCAGTGGAAAAATAATCAGACCCCAAGTGCAAGAGCAAACACTGGCAAGGGAAGGAGTTCTCTCTGCCTTCCCGTGCCTGCCGATACTCACAAAAATCCCAAAGAGCTTCGTTTTCCAGCTCCAGCAGGAAATGCCATTTCCACTCATAAAACAAGATACGGCTTATTTTGTTTTCATCTGATCCCTAATGGAAGAGCAATAATGCATTTTTCAGGTACAGATCAAAGATACCTTTGCTGTAGTGGTTTGAACATCATTAGATTCAGAATCCCCTTTTTTAGCACAGGGCAACTGCACAGCAATGGAGTCATTTTTGCACTTAAGAGTGGTCAAGTAGGATGGGCAAGAATTAAACCAGATAGCTCAGCATAACTCAAAACTTGTCTTTTTCACAAGCTGCTGTAGTATTTACTGCAGTTTTCTTATCCAAAAAGAGGTAAAAATCAGAGTACTTTGGGCACAGCACTGAGCTGCAGGATCTGTGGCTTAAGCAGGTTGAGCAGCTGCATTTACATTTATTCCATTGCTGCTGGAGACAGAGATGCAAAAGGGAGCATCAAATATGCAGAGGGAGACTGGCACCACAGGACATCTCCTTCCTGTCTTACAGATGGATTCTGTGAAGGACTGGTGGCTGTGGGAACTGATAGGACCCAGCAAACCTCAAATACATGTAGACAAAACTTCATGCATTGCCCACAGGCACAGCAATGGATCCTAAGGATCCTATTCCCTTTTCTCCACCTATTAAAGTTGCTTAACTACAGAGAAAATCCAATGGAGATTCTTTGTGGTCTGTGGAGGGGGGCACCTGTAGCATGAAGTTCTGTCCTGGAACGTGGTCAAAAACCTCAAACAAAGCTGTATTTTTCAAGCTATTAGTGGTGGGCTGAGAGGGGCACCATGTGCTGGGATTTGGTATTGAATTGTGTCAAAACCCATCTGCCACAACAGCCTCAAACCAACACCCTGACAATGAGGCAGAGATTTGGCACATGACTGGCAGTCAGCCCCTGTAAGCTACAAAAGTCCAGTCCAGTTTTCATACATATGAAAACACATATTCATACATTTTCTAACCTATTCCTCTTTGGAGTGTGTGTGGACATTCATCCTTTGAGTAAAGGATGTGCCCCAAGGATGTCCCTCAAGGCTGAGTGAAAAAGATTTGCCCTCAGTCATTGGCCTGGGTGAGTTATATCAACCTCTAATAATTGTTTGCTTTGGTAGATTTAACATGATTTCTTTAATATTGCTTTGATTTAGTGCACTTTCCTGTCTGATACTGTAATACTAGTTTTAGCTTTTATGCTGCGTAGTAAATAATAATAATAATTCTGACTGAGTTCTTTTGTCTAATCATTTATCATAAGAAATAATCCGTTTTCATGGACATATATCTGATTTGCTATCATTAAAATCTGAGGGACAAAGTTGTAAAACTTAGACTGTTGACAAAGTCCGGGGATATTCCTGGTTCCAACTGCCCCCAGGCTCCTCTCTGAGGAGTTCAGAAAGCAAAGGGATCCTCTCTGCACCTCATGACTCAATGGGAGCTTCTCTAACAAACTTTGTCTGAAGCTCACACTCCAACTTTCAACAGCACCCCCAAAATGATGCAGAGAGTCCTCACTGGAGAGGTGACCCAGCCTTATGATGTATCCTACACAGCCAGGATGATCCTACAGCAGAACCAGAGAATATTCTGAGTTGGAAGGGACCCATGAGGATCATCCCAGCCCAACACCTGGCCCAGCACAGGACAATCCCAACAATCCCACCCCAACCCTGAGA